TTCTCAAATGGAAAAACTGATTCTTGTCTATAGATGTTATTAAAAATGGTTTCTGTTTCCATATGTTATTTTACAATGAAAGGTGCTGCTGCTAGTTTTTGCCTTTTGAGAACTAGGGGACCAGTTCTTTCGGGGTTCACTATGTGAATAGTGTTATGGAATTAGCTGAGTAATTGTGTTCTGATGCAGATTGTAATTGAATTACGAAGTATACTACAGGTACTGGTGAACTTATGTGATGAAGTCTTGTTAATCATAATGTGTGCATTTCAGTTTCTATGTACTGAGGGAAATCAACTGTGAAATTAGACTAATGGTGTTTACTGCATCTGGTTTTGTTGGACGGTAACTTGAGACGTCTAACGGTAATTTACTCAGCAACAAGGACCTGGATTATCCTGTGTTCAGTAGTGAGTTACTGAATACAGAAAGGTATTTGTCAGCTAGCAAAATGTCACTTCCTGTTTTGTGAAGGACTCCTGAGCAACGACCAAACAGTGCAGATTCTTAGCCACAGGAATAAAATGTCCTCAAATGTCAGCCCCTGGCAAAGTGACCCTGAACTCTCCAGGGTTACCGACAGTTGCAGTTTCCCCTGGTGTTGGAGTTTGTGACTGAAGTCTGTAATTTCTGCCAAATAACTTCTTTGTCAGCTATGAAAGTGCTGCTATAGTAAATGGATCCCATGGGGTGTTCTACAACCTTCATATTCAAAATATTCTGCACTCTTTCGTTCCTCTCCTCTCTTCTCCCCTCCGCCCCCCCCCCCCCAGCATTGACTCATCATCCTTCCCAGTCTCTCTCAAATACACCAAATCATTGGGAAGCAACCTTGGATCAATCTTCAGCTCTCCTTTCTCCCTTGCACCCAGTCCCTGACCAAGATTGCTTTACTTCATCACTGCCCGTTTCTGCCACATCTCAGAACAACTGCCACCAAACCCTTATCCAAAATGAGTTACCTCCCGCCTGGATGTTTTGAATGTACTCGTTTCTGGTTTCCGTAGCTCCATTATACATAAGCTACAACTTTGCCACCTGTAGCCTCGCCTGCACCAAACTGCATGTCCATCAGTCCTCGTCTGGCTCAGAGTCAATTGATTTCAATTTCGTCCACAAATGCCTTTGTGCAGTAATAGCTCCTTACCACTGCGATTTTTTTTTCTATCCCATTCCTCTGCTCGCCCCCTCTGCTTATCAGGCATGCTGCGTGTTTTTCTCTACCAACCCCCTTCCGCTCCACCAACAGCGGCTTTGCTTCCAGATCCTGTGCCTCTAACCTCTGCAACTACTTCCATCTCACCCTTCTTCATCCGCCTTTAAATTCAGCTTTGAAACCTACCTCTTAGGCTGCATTCATAGTCACTTACCCTCTCTCCTCTGCTTGGTGTCTGACCCCGTATTTGTAAAGTGCACAACATTATCCTACATGCAGCGTGCTATATAAATGCAAATTGTTGTTGAAGAATGATCACTGGGGAAATTATTAGGAGCTGATAACAGCAGTGGAACAGTATCATTAGGAAACACATGGAAAATTAAAAAAAACTCATTTGATAAGCAAGTGGAAAGTGGTGAAAAACTGATACCTATTTTTCACCCACAAAATACACAAATCAATCCACTTTACAGTATAATCTGCATTGAGACAATATGAATGAGGCGTTATATCAAATGTAAGTATTATTATCTTCTAGACTATAGAGAAGGTAAGATAAGCTTGCAAATTGCTTCCAGATAAGACCCTTCTGAAGAGATGGGCTCAAGCACACATCAGTTTGGGAAAATGTGGAGATTAGCCACAATGAAGAGTTATATGGCTTTCAGGTGCAGAAATCTCAAAGTGCTTCCACTTCAAATTTAGAGTGGGGACAGAAGCCAGAGTATGGCATGTTGCAGTAAAAGATAAACCAATTGCAATGGGGCATTCAGTCCACAGTATTTCAAATCCTGGCAATGGGATGTTTGAGGTGCATTTTATGGTCTTGCAACCCTGTTTATTCAAACACTCCAAGGCTGTAGATCCAGGAACACCTGTTACTTCATTATCATAAGCAAGGCCTGGTTTGGAAAGGCAGCAATTTGGTAGTGATTAAGGTTTTGATTTGAGCTTTTAAAAGGGTACAGTAAACGGAACAAAAGAACATTTGCAATTATTCAGTGCAATGTTTTGCTTTACATATACTGAATGCCTCTGGAAAGCGATGGAGAGAAAATTACAGGCACTCCGCACGAGTGTGTGCACGCGCTACTAGTTGTTTACATGAGTTGGGACTGCAGTTAGTTAGTTGCCACATAAACTGATTAGCACTTGGGTTTTGGACCCTTTTGAACTTGTTTACAAAGTGATTTCCAGAGTTTATTCAGCAGCTTCACGGCTCTTGTCCTGAAGTTTCAGGTTAGATACAGCTGGCTTGCTGGTTACTAGCAGAATGACGCTTTTCCAACATTGCATTCATCTACTTGGTTGGACAAAGGTTCATTCCAGCAGCATGTGGAATGAACAGAATAGGACTGTTTCAATGATAGACAAAACCAATACTTGAGTTTGTTCAATTAACCTTATGGAGGCCAGATTGCTTGTGCATAAGGTTTTTTTATAGACACTGTTATTATGTGCAAGTCTCGTATTCTTATGGTCGCCAGACTGCAAGCACATGAGTTCTTAGTTAAAAAGCATCCAAGAATTGTTAATTTCTTCAGGTTGTGTCACGTGTGTGCACAGTGATCTGATCAATATTCTCAATCTCTCTTGCAAACAGCAACAATTTTCAGTACATAGCAACTTTCACATTGGCAGGTGTCTTAAAGCGCTTCAACAACAACAAAATTATAGTTATATAGCGCCTTTCACGTCGGGTGGGTGTCCCAAGGAGCTGGACAGACAAAGTTACGGTCCCGAGCGTGGGGGAGGGTGGAGGGCACACAGCTGACAGGAGGCTTGAGCTGGGGAGCGGGAGCAAGAGAGACAGGGACGAGCTGAGGGGATGGGTGAAGATGGCCAAAAGTACATATGAAATAAATAGATCTTAAGACAAGTCTCAACAACAAGGAGTGAGAAACTATAGGATGGAATTCCAGAGAGGGGCGCAGTCGAAGAGAAAGGTCTTCAGCAGAGATCTGAAAATAGGAAGAGAGGAAGCAAAGGGAGTGAGGAAGGGAGTTCCAGAGCCTCGGGGCGTAGTGGCTGAAGTCACGGCTGCTGAGGGTGGAATGGACGATTCAGGGGACAAGGAGGAGGCCAGACCCGGAGGAACAAAGGCAGTGGGCATTGCTTTAAGGAGAGAGGAGGTCAGAGAGGTGGGGGGGTGGGTGCAGAGAAGTGGAGGGATTTGAAGACAAAGGTGAGGATCTTGAAGTCAATCCTTTCTTGGACAGGCAGCCAATGCAGTCTGGCAAGGATTAGGGTAATTGGGGAGCGGAGTTTGGTGCGGGTGAGAACGCGGGCGGCAGAGTTTTGAATAATCTGGATTTTATGGATGGTAGTGGAGGGGTGGCCAGCGAGGAGGGCGTTAGAATAGTCCAGCCGGGGAGGTCAGGGAGGTGAGAATCGTGAAATTTTAGACGTTGACGAGAGCCAAAGAGTATGGCTTCTATCTTGTCAACGTTCAGCTGAAGGAAATTTGCGCTCATCCAGCCCCTGAGATCTGACAGGCAGCTGACAGAATACCAAGGGACTGGGGGTCACAAAGAGAGGTGGAAAAATAGAGTTGGGTGTCATCTACATATGTGTGGAAATATACCCCATGTCTACGGAGACATCCCCAAGAGGGAGCATGTAGATCAGAAAGAGGAGAGGGCCATGGATGGATCCTTGGGGTTACCCGCAGGTAACCGGGTGAGAGCGGGAGGAGAAGCCGTTTGTGCAGATGTCCAGGTGTGCAGCTCATCCAGGACCTGATGTCTGACAGCAGTCTGTCAAATGCCAGTGTTCCTGGGGCCAAGGAATAAAGGCAGAAAGATGCATGTGGAAGTGAGCCCCATACCAGCAGGTTGTTCGCCAGGAACTCTTCTCCTTTTCGGTCATTGTGTAGATGAGGAAAAGCAGAGGAAGGAGGATAGAGCTCTGAGGAATACAGCAGTTGTCCATGTCAGGAGGAGAAGCTGTATTAGAGGAGATGTGAAGATGCTGGCACAAGGAACTTATAAAACCAGGAAAATGCTGAGCCTTGCTACATTAAAGAACATCATTAAGCATCATTAATGCTATTTTGCTTACTCCTGAGATTGTCACTGACGCAGGAAGGCTAAAGCCAGAGTTATCCACTAGGCTAAGGCTTAATTTGTGTAAACTAGTGGGAGTGGATTGAGCATTTCAGTAATATGTTAAGGAGAATACCATGAACTGAAAAGTCAAACTCTGAGGTGGGGAAATTGCAGTCTGCTGGTTGCTGCACTAATTTTCACCAGCTTCTCTTTAGTAAAAGTTTAATTTTTTTTATTAAGCATCACATGCCTCAAAATATCAAATATAAAAACAGAAGTCGCTGGGAACACGCAGCAGGTCAGGCAACATCTATGGAGAGAGGGAAAATTACTTAATGTTTCAAGTCTATGACCTTTCGTCAGAACTGGGGGAAGTTGGAAGGGAGCAGATTATAAAGACAGGCAGAGAAAAGGGGTGGGGAAAGAAAAAGGAAACATTTAGGTAGAGGACAGAAGATGACGAGATCAGAGGTGTTGATGGTGCAAGACAAAAGAAGGCAATAGTGGGAGATTATAGACAGAAGATTGTGAATGGTTGAAATGTCACTCTGGTTCCAACATGAAATGTTGACAAGTAGTCAACCTATCTCATTGAATGTTTTTTGTACCATTTCCATTTCTCACCTTTCAGATTGTCCAATATTGGTGTCAGTCACCCCTTCACCCACCTACTTGTAAAGTGCTAACCTTTGTATTCTTAAAATTACAAGTTGATTGAAGTGTGTTTCTCACTTCTTATTTCTCTTCTGGCTCGCTTTTCCTTCCCTGACCCCTCCCCACCCCACCCCAAAAAGTGTGGAGATTGGAGAGAGCGTTCGAGGTGAAGATGTTTACATTGTACAGAGCGGTTGTGGCGAAATCAATGACAATCTGATGGAGCTGCTCATCATGATCAACGCATGCAAGATCGCCTCTGCCTGCCGGGTCACAGCCGTCATCCCATGCTTCCCTTATGCTAGGCAAGACAAGAAAGATAAGGTAGGATTAATCTTCTGCATTGCACTGAACTGGGCAGACAGTAGCATGACTGTTGAGTTCAGTTCAGCCGAAGGCCCTTTTTGTGATCCTGTTAATGTGTTTTATGTGTGATGTCCGTCTTCAAGGACCTATTAATATTTTCTGAAAACTGTACTCTGATGAATGTATTGTTCCAATAGTTCACATGAAAGAGTTGTACGGTAGCTAGAAAATTGTGTGGCCATTACCAATTGTACCTAAAGGCACAACTGGCCTCGGACCAAATCTGTTCTAATGTAATGATGTTCTGTAAAACTCCCAACTATGTAAATCACTTCAAAGACCACTGCAACTCTTTACAAAGTCATTGCGAATAATTCATTCACCAGCATCAACAAAGCCATGAGTTCTGATAATGCTGCTTTGTTTCAGAAATTTTGCTTTGATTTTTTTGGCACTTTAACACTTAGCTTCCAACAGTTATTTACTTTTAATTATGAGATGTTACTATTTACAGAGCTACATTTCTCATTTTGCCTTTGATAATTTTGAGAAAATCATCTTAGCTACTGCTGCCTGTCCAACATGTGTTTGCTTCGCGGATTCAATGCAAAGATTATTATTATCGTATTTGTGTCGCTTGTCTAATAAAGATAGAATGTTGTTGGAGATTCTTTGGGTTGCTTTTACGTTGATTTGGCTGCACTTGCTGTTCCTAGTCAGTGTTTGTTCCATCATTATGCACTGATTCTTGTTGTTGTTAAATTGAGTTTCTGATTGATTGATTTCTTCTGCAGCAACCTAATCCTTTCACATTTTTGGCCAGGACTTCAGTAACAGTGGGCCATCTTATCACTGTAATACTGCTAGTAGTGCCATTTCAGCAGCCAAGCAAGAAAGCACAGCCAAGTGTTTCAAATCCTGCATATGTCTCCATTAGAAAATCTTGCTATGAAAATCCTGGTGATGGCATTGCTGTAATTCATGAATCTTTGGTTGAACCTTTGATGCACTAACTGGCAAATGTTTTCAAGGAGCACTACAAGAGGCAAATATTAATAAAAAGCTTCCTCTTCCCGTCTTTTAGCAAACTACAGCTATTTCCAGGGATGTTTTAATGCCGTCTTGGTCTTATTCTCAGAGTCGAGCCCCGATTTCAGCAAAACTGGTTGCCAACATGTTGTCTGTGGCTGGGGCAGACCATATCATTACGATGGACCTCCACGCTTCTCAGATACAGGTAAGCTGCTCTTCTTTCCTGCAAGAAACACAAGTAAGAGTGAAGTCCTCATCGGTTCAGTGTGTTGATTCCAATGTAACTCGTCAGTTTTCTTGTGGTCTTGTAGTATGGTGAACTACTTTTTTACGAGTCAATAGCATGACCTCTCTTGCTCTTTCTGGCAGGGTTTTTTTGATATTCCAGTGGACAATCTGTATGCTGAACCCGCAGTACTCAAGTGGATTAGAGAGAATATTCTAGAATGGAAAAACTGCACCATAGTCTCTCCTGATGCCGGTGGAGCTAAAAGGTAGGTATAGGGTGGATTGGGGGAAACCAGCTGTGGGACGTTGTTACCTTTGCATTTATATAGAATCCTTCACGCAGGGCAGCTTCCCAGAGCGGTTGGATACCCACCAAACCAGTCCATGTAATCAGGGGAGTTTGCGGTGTTGGGGGGTTCACTTTTCAGTGAGGTAGTTTGGCTCTTGATTTTGAGTTCACTGCAGAGAGGTGAGATTGCAATCTTGTCTGTCTCCCTGGGTGGATAATTTCAAATCATGGATTTGGATAATTTCAGCCCAGTTGCCAAAGGAACGTTGTTCAATAACATCAAGGATCTGTGATGAATTTGCACAAATTGGGTCACGCACTGTGGCCGTGGGACCTCTCTCTTCAAGTATTGCTATAAGAGTCTTAAAGTCCGTCTGAACAGACACGCAGGTGTTCACTGTCGAGGCAAAAAGTAATTTCATAATGAATTGAAATGAGCAGAACAATGCCAGAGATTTATTTATGGTCAATCTTTGTTATTTTTGAATATTACATAAGGTCCTTTTTGATGTTTTTCTCTTGTCAAAAACAACTCAAAGTAACTCCACTTCCATTCTCCTCCCTCACCGCCACTACCAATGTCTTTTCCATTTTCAGAGTTACATCTATAGCTGATCGGCTTAACGTGGATTTTGCTCTGATCCATAAGGAGCGCAAAAAAGCAAACGAGGTTGACCGAATGGTCCTAGTCGGCGATGTGAAAGACAGAGTGGCTATCTTGGTGGACGACATGGCGGATACCTGCGGCACAATTTGCCACGCTGCAGACAAGTGAGTCCAGCTGACCTTCAGTACTGGAGGAAGGACTGTCGAGCAGTCGGCAGCAAAAAATAATAATAATCCTTGCAGTTGACGTAACCCCTAACACATTGAGACGTCTCAAAGTGCTTCACAGAATATACTGTAAAGTGAATTGATTATATTTTGTGGGCAAAACACAGCAGCTAGTTGCGCACGTCAGAGTCCCACAAACAACCGTGGATTGATTCATCACATTTGTTTTAATTTGAAGAGATTATTCCCCCAGGAAAGCGATCCTCCAATCGACTAACAACTGGGTTCCTACCTATTGCTAGGTAAACCGAGGCATGTGGGGTAAGGAAACGTGCCTAAGGTTTTGCAATGCCAGGAATCAAACCCAAGTTCTCTCGCTTGCAAGGCAAGGGGTCTAAGAAAGGGTAGCATCCCAGAGCGCTTAATACAGCGGAGGTCTGTAAAATTCAATGAATTGGTGGATTTGTTCCATTTTTTAAAAAAAAAACTATGGGAGGACTTTTTTTTATTTAATTTTCTGAACACCACAGGCTGCTGTCTGCTGGAGCTACTAAAGTGTACGCTATACTCACGCACGGAATCTTCTCTGGCCCTGCTATCTCTCGTATCAACAACGCCTGCTTTGAAGCTGTGGTCGTCACCAATACAATACCCCAAGAGGACAAAATGAAACACTGTCCTAAAATACAGGTACATGGGGAATGGTGTGTTTAAGATGGGGGAACTGTATAGCCCAGTAAAAGGGGGAAATATTTAGATATCTAGGCCTAGAAATTGCTGTGAATCAAATGTAAGTAAAGGTGAATACTGTGCTCGCTTCACGGGGTATTGATTTTGAAGTGCCGTGACACCTCCAATAATGCAACTGTTAGAAGTACAGTAAAAATGGCATAATATCTTTATAAATCATATAATCGCCTAAGTCCTATCCAGTTTCCTGTCATAACCACTTAGATTTCTTTGTACTACTCGTATAATTGCCACTAATGACATTCTGAACATCTGTGATCAGGGCTCCCTCTGCCCCCTTGTCCTTCTCGATCTCTCTGCTGCCTTCAACTGTGGTCCACTCCGTTCTCATACATCGCATCTCCTCCTTACTTAACCTTTGTGGCTTTGCCCTTGCCTGGTTCAATTCCTATCTCTCTCACTGTCTCCATTTTGTTGCCTCTAACGGTTTCTCCTCCAGCCCCCGCACTGTCATGTCTGTTATCCTCCAGGGCTCTGTCCTTGGCCCTCTCCTCTTTAGTATCTACATGCTCCCCCTTGGTGACATCATCCTCAGACATGGGGTCAACTTCCATATGTATGCGGATGACACCCAACTCTATCTTTCTGCCTCCACCCTCAACTCCAGGATCATTGCTGTCCTGACAGACTGCCTGTCAGACATAAGTCCTGGATGAGGGCAAACTTCCTACAGTTTAATGTAAACAAGACTGAGGCCCTCCTGATTGGCTCGCGCCAGTGCCTCTGCACCTCAGGCTCTGGCAACATCAACCTCCATGGTTGCACACTACAACTCACCAATCCAGTCAGGAACCTGTGTGTCTTGTTCAACCCTTAGCTGTCTTTTATTCCCCACATCCAAGCCATGACCCGCTCTGCCTTCCCTCACCTCCGTAATATCGCCTGACTCCGCCACTACCTCACCCTCAGGCTGCTGAAACTTTTGTTCACGCCTTCATCACCTCCAGGCTCGACTATGCAAACGCCCGGTTTGTCGGCCTTCCCAACTCCTCCCTCCACAGGCTGCAGATAATCCAGAACTCTGCAGCCCGCGTCTTCTCCTGCACCAAACTCTGTGACCCCATCTCCCCCATTCTTGCCCGACTCCATTGGCTCCTTATCCTTCAGAGGATCCAGTTCAAAATCCTGGTCCTCAACTACAATGGTCTCGCCCCACCCTATTTCGGTGACCTCCTAACCGCCTACCAACCTGTCTGTTCCCTCCTATGGCCTGCTCCATGTCCCCGACCCACCCACCCCACCATTAGCGGGAGAGCCTTCAGCCACTCTGCCCACAACGTCTGGAACTCCATCCCCCAATCACTCCGCCTCGCCCCCTCCTTATCCTCCTTCAAGTCCCGCCTCAAGACCCCCCCTCTTCAACCATGCCATTGGTTACCCCCTTTCCCTTCCCCTCCCTTCTCCCCCAAGACCCCAGCTCGGGTCTGAAATGCCTGCCACTCGTACTTTGCTTAAGGCAAACCAAATAACAACAATAAGATTACATTTGTATAGCGCCTTTCACATCAGAAGGACGTCCCAAGGCACTGGACAGTGTACAGCATTTCAGACTGATACGACTTATGTGAGTGTTTACTATATAATAGAAACACTTAGAGATAGCCAACTGTTGGATACAGGCAGGAGATTATTACAATCTTATCGAATTAGAGCTGAGAATCTGGAATACAGTGAGCTACTGTACTCTATACTCTCAGCTAATAATATCTAATAAAAACCTAAAGTTTCTGCTTTCTTTTCCCCGAAAACCATTGTTTGTCTCACTTTGGTCCAACAGTTTACACTTACAGTTTACACTGGTATTTACATTGGCTGGGCTCCAGCAAATAGCTGAATAGTTGTAAATTGAATTTTAATCACACAGATTTAAAAAAAACTGCTTTGCTATTTATTGAATAGAACTCTATATATATATATATATATATATAATAGAACTAACTTCAAAACTTGAATTATATGGGCGTAAATGACTACTTTCATTCAAGTTGCTCATGTAGAACGTGCGATTCTAATACGTGATTACTGTTTGTAGTGAAGTCTTAATTTGTGGAATTCTCAAACTTGTGATTTCTGACTGTAAATTAAGCTTCCTAATTCTTTTGAGCAGTTACATTTCCATATAAGAGGTCCAATTTGATGGACCAGACGCCTCAAGAGGTGGTCACCCCACCCCATGCACCGAGGATTCCGATGGAAAATAACTGGATGACTGTCCGGCATGGTAGGAAGAGGGGACGGGCTAGGCAGAATGCCCCCAATAGTGTAGCACTCTCAAACCAGTACTCGGTACTGAACATTGAGAGTGTGGCTATCTCCAGGGAGCACAGTATAAACCAATTGGTGGAACAGGGGGACAGAGGTAACAGGAGTAATGCTGTTGTCATCAGGGATACAACAGTGAGAGGTATAGAGCAACGTTTTTGTAACAGAAAACGGGAGTCAAGAATGGTATGTTGCCTCCCTGGGGTGGCGATCTCTGGATTGCTCCCTGTGCCTCGGGCAAATAAGTACCAGAATGGCAGGATCAAGTATATGAATGCTTGGCTGGAGAAATGGTCCAGAAAAGAGGGCTTCAAGTTTCTGGATCATTGGGACCATTTCTGGGGCAGGTGGGACCTGTATCATATGGATGGGTTGCACCTAAACAGGGCTGGGGCGAATGTGCTTGCAGACAGGCTAACTAATGCTGTTGGGGAGGGTTTAAACTAGTTTTGAGGGGGGAAGGGAATGCAAAAAAGAAGAGCTAGAAAATGGAGAAATAAAACGGGGGAAGTGCAGAACAGGTCAAGTCGGTCTTGGAGTGCACGTGCCTAAGTGCACAGAGTTTAGCAAACAAGATTGGTGAGCTGCAGGCTCAAGTGGTCATAGGGGGATACGACGTAGTAGCAGTAACAAAAGCTTGGCTCAAGCAAGGACAGGAATGGGAGCTGAATATTCCTGGCGACAATGTATTCAGGAGAGATAGGGAAGGAAAAAAAGGAGGGGGTGTGGCAATGTTAGTCAAAGATACAGTTATAGCATGGAAAGGGTCAAGGTGCCAAAACAGAATCTATCTGGTTAGAGTTAAGGAATAAAAAAGGAGCTGTTACACTGGTAGGGGTATACTATAGACCACCAAATAATAATCCTTGCATTTGATATAGCGCTTTTCACGTCGGGAGGACGTCCCAAAGCGCTTCACAGAACACACTGTAAAGTGAATTGACTGTATATTTGTGGGCGAACGCAGCAGCCAATTGCGCACAGCAATGTCCCACAAACAGTCGTGGATTGAAAATGACCAATTTATTATTGTTTTTGGTTTTGGAGGGATTATTATTAGGCTCTGTGTGGAGTAAGGAAACTTGCCCAAGGTTTCGCCCTCTGCCTGGAATTGAACTCAGGTCTCTCGCTTGCAAAGCGAGTGCTCTAACCACTGAGGTACAGAACTCATAGTGGGAAGGAAATAGATGAGCAGATCTGCAAGCAGATCTCAGACAGATGCAAGGCCAATAGAGTTGTGATAATGGGGGACTTTTATCCCAATATAGACTGGCAAAACAACAGCGCAAAGGGCAAGGAGGGAGAAAGATTCCTAAAATGCATACAGGACAACTTTCTTGATAAGTACGTTTCCAGCCCAACGAGGAAGGAAACAGCGCTGGATCTAGTTCTGGGGAGTGAAGTAGAACAAGTGGAGCAAGTTTCAGTGGGAGAGCATCTGGGAAATAGTGATCATAACATTAGATTCAAAGTGCATATGGAAAGAGACAAGGAACCGTCTAAGGTGAAGATACTCAACTGAAAGAGAGCAAATTTCAGTGAGTTAAAAAGGGACCGAGCCAAGGTGGACTGGAAAGAAAGATTGGCAGGTAAAACAACCAAAGAGCAGTGGAAAGTCTTCAAGTATGAGATAGCTCGGGGACAGAATAAATACATTCCCACAAAAGGGAAAAGTAGGGCTTCCAAACCTCCCTGGATGATGAAGGTAATTGTATCTAAAATGAAGCAGAAAAAGGAGGCGTATGTCAAACCCAAGATACAGAAGACAACCAAATCGAATATAGGAAGTGCAGAAGAGGTTTGAAAAAGGAAATAAGAGGGGCAAAAAGATTATACGAAGAAAGGTTAGCGGGTAACATTAAAAGGAATCCTAAAATGTTTTACAAACGTATCAAGGAAAAAAGGTTAGTCAAAGGTAGGGTGGGGCCAATTAAGGACGAAGGCGGAAATCTTATTGTGGAGGCAGAGGGCATGGCTGATGTGCTGAATGAGTACTTTGCATCTGTTTTCACAAAAGAAGTGGATGCACCAAATGCCACAGTATCGGAGGAGAGGGAGAGGAAATGGATAGGATAAGTATAAACAAAGCGCAAGTACTGAAACGGTTGACTGGGCTGAAGGTGATAAGTCGCCCGGTCCGGACGGGATGCAGCCGAGGTTACTATGGGAGGGACGGGTACAAATAGCGGAGGCTTTCGGCTACAATTTTTCAATTTTCGTTGGACACAGGAGTGGTGCCAGAGGACTGGAGAGTGGCCAATGTGACTCCCCTGTACAAAAAGGGACAGAAGTACAAACCTGGGAACTGCAGGCCAGTCAGTCTAACATCAGTAGTGGGGAAACTCCTGGAGACTATAATCCGGGACAGAATAAATCTTCATTTAGAAGAATATGGGTTAATTAGGGACAGTCAGCACGGATTTGTTGAAGGCAAATCTTGTCTTAACAAATCTAATAGAATTTTTCGATGAGGTAACGGAGAGGGTGGATAAAGGTAGTGCAGTTGATGTCGTTTACATGAACTTTCAAAAGGCATTTGACAAAGTGCCACATGAAAGACTTGTAAGAAAGATAGAAGCCCGTGGTATAAAAGGGACAGTGGCAGCGAATCCAGAATTGACTGGGAGACAGAAAGCAGAGATTTGTGGTGAACGGCTGCTTTTCTGACTGGAGGGAAGTGTACAGTGGCGTCCCCCAGGGATCGGTATTAGGACCACTGCTCTTCTTAATATACATAAATGATCTGGACTTGGGTATAGCAAGTACCATTTCCAAGTTTGCGGACGACACAAAGTTAGATGGGGTGGTAAACAGTGAGAAGGATAGGAGCCGACTGCAGAAGACATAGACAGAATGGTAAAATGAGCAGACACATGGCAGATCAGTTTCAATGTAGAGAAATGCGAAGTAATGCATTTTGGTAGAAAGAAAGAGGGGAGACAATATAGGCTGGTAATACAATCTTAAGGGGGGTAAAAGAACAGAGAGACCTAGGGGTGCAGGTGAATGAATCCTTGAAGGTGGCAGGACAGGTAGATAAGGCTGTAAAAAGGGCAAATGGGATTCTAGACGTTATAAATAGGGGCATAGAGTACAAGAGTCAGGAGGTTATTATTAACCTATATAAAACACTGGTTAGGCCTCAGTTAGAATACTGCGCCCAGTTCTGGGCACCACACTATAGGAAGGATGTTAAGGCATTGGAAAGGGTACAGAGGAGATTTACGAGGATGGTACCAGGAATGAGGGACGGTGATGATGAGGAAAGGCTAAGAGAGGTGAGGATTATTCTCATTGGAGCAGAGAAGTGGGATTGACATTTATTGTTCTATTCAAAGAGCCGCACAGACTCGATGGGACGAATGGCCTCTTTTTGTGCTGTACAATTCTATGATTCTATGATAACCATCTTAGTGTATCCACTTCTTTGGTTTGGAAAACGATATTTTACTGTATAATTGACAGAACTGGCCGATTTATTTTATTGCTGAAATTGTTATCTTCACAAACAAACTCGGGGGCTGTGTCAGTTCGAAGCTGCTATATAGCTAGGTGAGAGAGAGTGTGAGTCTATTGATACCTCTGCGCTCCAAGACACTATCCTATATGAATGGCACTATATAAATGCAAGTTAGCAGTGTGACTTTCTCGAAGGAATGTGAATTCAATTGTAATTGGGGGTCGAACTCAAAGGAGGGCACACATGTGAAGCATTGTTGCTTTCTCCTATTCCATCCTTTCAGTCTGTATTTACTCCATATTTGTTCCTGATTAGTAGCATTCTGAGAGTAAATGACACAAGTCAGCCATGTAAGGAAGGCTATATTTTACCTATATTTATCCATGCTCCAAAATGTTACATGTCTTCCAAAACACAAGGTACTAAAGCTTTTCAGGCAGAATGTAAAGTGACTGCAGATTTCTAGCTGAGCCCTGCATTGATGGTTTTTGAGAGGAGACTGGAATAAATTTGACTGTGTTTTTTGACTTGCTTTGACAGTTGACTGTCAACCGTGACTATAGCTGGCATCCTTTATTATGTGTGATTTAGACTCCTCTTGAAATTCACTATTTTGAAATTTCTTCTGGAATACTGCATAAATTAGCTTTAATATATTGACTTTTGATCATTTTGGAACCTGTCTATCTGTGACTCCCGTTTCTAAACTCGACATACCACACGGGATTTTGTGTAAACGTGTATACATCTTCTTCCCATTTTTAGTGTTAGTGAGATTGTTGCCTAGGGAAGCAGAAAGTGGCGATTCTTTCAAACAAAAATTAGAAAGGTTTCTTTTAAGAAATAATATCATAGGATACAGTATATAGTTTGGGGCATGACACATGCATGTGACTGCCAGGATGATGAAAGGCAAACTGGGTGGACTTTGGTCTTCTTTCGTCTAGTAATTCGTATGTTCTTTTTTCATTTGAAACTGGTAACTTTATATTTAGTTTCTCCCTAACCTCTGAAACTCCCTGCCTCAATCCCTCCGCCTCACACTTTCCTTAAATCCCATTGTCTCGTTTACCGCACCTATGGTCACCTCTCCCTTCTCCCTTGCTTGGCGTCCAACCGAGCCAGCCACTGTGCAGCGCTCTGACACGCTATTCTGTGTGAAGAGTACGGTATAATTGCAAGTTGTTGTCATCTTCTGTTCTTTTTAGTTTCCTATTTATTTTACACTTCATTCCTTTATATTCTGTGCAGTACAAATAGTGTCATCTTAAGTAATTTATTGATGAAACTATTATAACTGGAAAATTCGTAAGTGGTGAGATTGTTAATATTTTCGCCTTCTTACATAAGAGACTGAGAAACGTACTATGAGTTGGCCATCTCAAAGTGCTTCCCACAGTTGACTCAGAGTCAGTGCTGCGCGGGTGGGAGGGAATCAAAATGGTGTTAAGGAAGTGGGAAGGGAGAGGGAGAAATAGAGGGAAGGGGTGGCATGCAGTCCACTATCAACAGGCAAGTCTTTAGGCACTTCACGCCACCCTCTTGATCTCTCTTCCGACGTCCCTGATCTCTTTTCCCTCTCAGTGTTCACCGCCCCTCCCACTGACAGATCTCTGACTGCACTTTTGGCCTCTTCCTCCCCTCCCAGCTCGGGCTCCCACTGACCTTTAAGGTGTTGCGAGATGTGCTCCTGATGTAAAAGGCTCAAGATGATTATAAATTGCTGTTGAGATTACACGCAGGACCATGACTTGGTTCTGAAGCTGAATCAGCAGTCTATGTAAAAGCCAGCTCACAGCGATTCAGATTCCAGCTCACGCAGCAAATAGCTTTGGCACGTGTGCTAAGCCAGAACGATTAGTCGAAGGGATTGATCTGTAGCAAACCCACTCTACAACATTAGTCTGTTAGCACTCCATTTAATGTCTTGTTTATGTGTTCTGGTTTTGTTTAAATACTGTGAGCGGTTCTCATGTGGTGCCAGCACCACATGGGTTCAGATGGATAATTACAAGTTCAGCACAAGAGGCTTGTAAAATACAGTAGTTACAAGCTGGGGATGGGTATTTAATTGGGGTTTACATATTACCAAAGTGAGTCTTGATTCCTTGGGTTGATTCTGAAAGTATTCATCTACATATTAGGAGTAGAAGTTGCAGCACAGAGAAGCAACTCCTGCAGCTCAACCGCTGAATGTACTGAAGTGTCTTGATGCAATCTGGTGGCGAAAATGGAGTACTACAAGACCGTTGTTGTGAGAGTATTAACAATGCTAAGTGAAAACCATCAATCAATGCCAAGAGGAGAAAAAGAGAAATCAATATCCAGCATGTCAGATTTCATTGAGTTTGAAGCCTCTGAGTATTTTAAGAAAGCTTGCACTTTTTTATAGCACCTTATCCAGTCTTGTCCTGATTAGCTCACTTGCAGTATAATAATAATATAATGTAGTTTGATATAGTGCCTTATCAAATCTTTGAGACGTCTCAAAGAACTTCACAGGACATACTATGAAATGGATTGACTGTATTTTGTATGCAAAACGCTGCAGACAGTTTGCACACAACAATGTCCCACAATAGCCACGGAGTGAGTGATCATTTTTATTTGGGGGATTGTTGGCCAGGACATCAGCAGAAAGCCTCTTTTCGAATAGTGCCACGGGATATTTAATGTCAAACCTGAATACAGGGCCTCGGTTTACCGTCTCTCCAAAGGACAGCACCTCTGACAATACAGGGCACCCACAATGTCAGTATGTCGACGTGGGGCTTGAAATCACAACCTCACTTGGAGATGAGAGTGCTACCACTGCCCCAGGCTGACATACGTTCTTAAGGGTTAAAAAGAAATCAAAATTAGCCAGTCAGTGCACCACAGAAGGAAACTTTGCTCAAAGTCATCTTCACAGAGATGTCAGTCGTCTGATTTTGCTCATCCAGTCGCTCCCACATCAGATGTCGTTTCAGTTTATAAGTGGGTTAAGTTTTAGTTGATGTAATATTTTGGTATCCAGTGCTGTTCCTAGCAGGACTTAAAGTTAAATTCTGATCGCTCTACACAATGCAAATCTAACTCTTGTTTTATTTTCTTCCTTTAGGTGATCGACATCTCCATGATCCTTGCGGAGGCGATCCGCAGAACACACAACGGCGAATCCGTGTCCTATCTGTTCAGTCACGTACCTTTGTAACGTCTGGAATTTCTCCTGCTTCAGCTTGGGATTGTCTACCAAAATCCTCTTCCTTCCACCTCTGATACAAAGGACTCCTTGCCACCCACTGCCTCAAAATCTGGTCAACTTCTATCTGATCTGTCAGGACAGACATTTTGGATGGACATTTATCATTGTATTGGGTGTTTACAATTTAAAAAAGTGGTTGTATATTGCAAGTGGAAACGTGTATATGGTAATTAGATGTAACCTCTATAATGTATGTTACACAGCCCTCCATACAGAAGGGAAACCTAGTTATTGCTTTATAAGATTGTGTGTATTCTGACTTCTTCTCTGGGTTCCAATATTACTGCACACCTGTTTTTCTCCAGCTTTACAGAAGGACTTCACAGTGTAAAATTGCCACCGTTTTACATTGGCAGAATTTGTTAGAATTGTTGTTAGAATTTGCTGCATTCCCAGGAAAATCAGTGGTTAAGTTGAAATAACACAAATTTGAGCTATTCAAATCCAGTCAATATTTCATTTCTCTTGACTTAACTTTTATTTTTGCCTTGCGTGTATTTTATGAGCCATTAATTCTGTCCTCATTCAGTTTGAGTTACGATGTAGAAAGATATGGTCATGCATTGTGCAAACAAAGGGTTTGATCTACCAATTGCTTACAAATAGTCTCGCAAAAGAATTGCAGTTTTATATTTTTTCTTCGCTTTACAGGTGCCACTGTGCCACTGGTGGCAAAATCATTTGAAGTCTTGCTCTGGCTTGGGCCTAGGTTTTATGCGCATTCAGGAAAGTTAAGTGTTTTGGAAATACGTAAAGTGAGGCAAAGAGAACAGAATAGTAGATTCAGCAGCCCTGGTAATGGGGAATACTTCTTGTACCGCCTTAGGCAGTAACATTTACAAGCAAGAAGCTGAACATAGGTGTGGTTTTTGAAATTCGCTGACCCAAGGGTTGTACAGTACTAAAGTCATGCCTTTTTTGTTTCTCGTAATGTTTTTTTGTTTCTTGCAATGTTTTATGTAGAAGTATCGTGTAGCATAATCATGCTACTAAACGCTACTTGATTTGGGTCGTATGTGGGCTTGTGTTCTTCAAGTCCAACTCTCCTCAGTATATAGAAGCTTAGAGCTTTGAAGATCCAATCTCTGTTGATATTACTGCTTGTACTCCTGTGGCCAGCGTTGACCTGAGTTTTCAGGACCCAGTTGAGCTGTGGAGTGTAAAGTGGCTAACCTGTTCTCTGTGAATTTCACACGGATACAGCATAACATTCAAACAGCATAACATGCAACCTGGTTCTTTTGGCAAGTGGATTAAATTGCTGACGTCGCAGGCACAGGGTTTGGGTTCAGATACGTGCAGACGCATTGGGACCCTATCATACCCTACCACACTCAACCTGACACTTAGACACTGGCCTCTTAAGTTATTGGCACTCATTTTGCAGATTCTCTTAGAATCGCTGGGGCTTTATAAGCTTCAATCTGAAGCTAGTGTGGTACAGGATGTGGCTTTTGATAGGTCGACAGTTGTACACAAATTAAAAATTAATTCCCCAAATTTTTTTTCCGACAACTTGGTAGGACATGTAGACATCTATAATGTAAGCTGTCTACATTGTTCGCTTGTAGCTGCTGTGCACAAATAGCTGCCAGAAAGGAGTAAGTTGAGTGTTGAGAGGGAGAAGAGGTCCTTTTTTTCATGTAGAAATAATTATGTTCTATTGCTCATATTACTGATCACAAAAACATTCACATGCAATTTTTAAGCCTGTCCGGATGAAACTGGTGGTGAGCCTTGTGTTTTGTGTGTATGTGTAACGAGGAAAGCAATTTCTACACATTATGAAGTGGTAATCCTACTTTGAAAGGAAAAGTATCATTGTCCAGAACCGTTTTCGTTTTGTTTCTACAGAAGGAAAAACTGGAGGTTTTTACGTTTTGTTTTAAATTCACTCGCTACAATAAACAGAGCTGTGAAAATGTCTGTGTGTTTTTGCTGTTCTGTTATACACTGTACAAGTCTTTCCCTTTTTACAGTTTGTACTGAATATCGGTCATAAACCACACAGTTGGGGAAGCAGACCTGCGCACTCGTACACAGTTCAAACAGACTCCTAAGGTGCAGGAGAGCAACAAGGTGTCAGCCAGGCTCAGTTGATCACACTGCAGCCTCCTGAGTCACAGGGTTGTGGATTCAAGTCCCACACCAGGACTCTGAGCTCGTAATCAATAGAATCATAGAAGCGTACAGTGCAAAAAGAGGCCATTCGGCCCATCGAGTCTGTGCGGCTCTTTGAATAGAGCAATTAATGTCAATCCCACTCCCCAGCCCTTTTCCCCATAATCCTGCAAACCCGTCCTCCTCAAATACCCGTCCACCGCGTTTTTAAAAGTAGTTATCGAATTGGTCTCGACCGTCCTTTCAGGCAATGCGTTCCAGATTCGAACAACTCGCTGCGTGAAAACATTTCTTCTCACCTCTCCCCTCGGCTTCTTTTAGAGACTATTTTGAATCTGTGACCTCGAGTTACCGACACTCCCACCAGTGGGAACAGTTTTTCCCTTTCCATCCTATCGAATCCCCTCATGATTTTGAAGACCTCTATTAGGTCCTCGTAACCTTCTCTGCTCCAATGAGAATAATCCTCACCTCTCCAGCCTTTCCTCATAATCAAGGTCCCTCATTCCTGGTACCATCCTCGTAAATCTCCTCTATACCCTTTCCAATGCCTTAACATCCTTCCTATCAAATTGAGGTCTCGTCAACCTGTTCAGGTGACTTTATATCTCATGACTTTTTATACCCTGGTACCATTCGAAAAGAGAAGGAAGTTTTTCCCTCCCATTTCCTGACCTAATAGTTACTTAGATAAATATTTGTTCGTTCACTTGTGGAGTGTGCTGTCACTTTCACGGAAATAAGAGTCACTACACTTTACAGGAAAAAATACTGTTGCTACATTATCCAGAAAAAAAACAAGTTTTTTGAGATGTTTCAACAATTATGAGCTACTGTATCAAATACAAAGATTATTTACAGTTGAATATTTTAATTTCATTATAAAATATAACAAACTTTTTTTATTGATTTCACCAACCAAATTTAAAGTATTGGTGTAATTCTTTGTCTAAGTGTTTGTGGGACACTGCTGTGCACAATTGACACACCACATAACGATTGGCATTTATATAGGGCTCTTCACACGGGATAGTGTCTCGGGTACTGTATCGCCAAAGACTATTTAAATGTAGAATAAAGTGTTGGTGAACTCATGGTCACGTAATGATCAGCATCTTTGATACCTTCGATATGAACTAAACTTTTGTTCTCAGACTATACCAAGAGATGTAAAATACAAAGGAGAAAGTTGCCTATTGCCTTGGTTCTGGTAACTGCGTTTCTAATAATAATCCTTTTATTTGATATGATATACCGTCTTATCACATTGTTGAGATGACTCACAGAATGTACTGTAAAGTGAATTGACTGAATTTTCCTTGATACAACTACTTGCAAATATAGAGCACTCTTCATAAGGGGCCATGTCTCGGAGCGCTTTATAACCGCAGAACAAGAGAGAAAATTCAATGCTGATTTTCAGGCAAAGACCAAGATGACGTGTGACTACTTTGTAAGGGAGAAACTTCCTTCTCCTTTCTGAATAGCGCTATGGTATCTTTATCGTCCACTGAACAGGCAGCCAGGACCTCGGTTTAACATCTCATCTAAAGGATGGAAAGGAGAAAGCATCTCAGTTCCCATTTATTTAATCTGAGTACGTAACATCCACCATTACAACAACAACAACAACATGCATTTATATAGGGCCCCTTCACGAGTGGTAGCATTCTGGAGTGCTTCACAATGACGGAGTCTGACAACAAGGAGGAGGCAGGTGACCATAAGCACCATCAAAAAGGGAAGTTCTTTAGGCGGGATTTGAAGGTGGGGAGGGAGGGAGTAAGGTGGAGGGATCGAGGGAGAGAGTTCCAGAGTTTCGGGGCGTAGTTACACATTGCTAGTTAGAGGCAGGTCTCTGACAGGTTCATGAAACCACTGAGCTGTGTGTAAAAATCAGTCTAATTTGTCAAAATTTGCATTTGGATTAATCTGGTTTGTCACCCACTCATATGTGAGTGTGAGAAGACAGGAGAAACATGAGGCCACCACTGCTTTGACTACTTCCACTTTCTTGCAGCAAGTTCACGTACATAGGCATCAATTTCCTCTTTCACATAACACAAACAGCAATTGGTCACATGTAACCAGTGGTTAATATATTGGACACCGTTCTCTTCATGACTGGAGTCCTGTAGCTCAGTGGTTAGAGCACTCGCCTTGCGAGCGAGACACCTGGGTTCAATTCCAGGCAGAGGGCGATACCTTGAGCAAGTTTCCTTACTCCACACGACTGATAATAATCCCTCCAAAACCAAACAATAATAAATTGGTCATTTTCAATCCACGACTGTTTGTGGGACATTGCTGTGCGTAATTGGCAGCCGCGTTCGCCCACAAATATACAGTCAATTCACTTTACAGTATATTCTGTGAAGCGCTTTGAGACATCGAGAAGACGTGAAAAGCGCTATACCAAATGCAAGGATTATTATTATGACTGGGTCACTCGTACATACAGGTGCAGACGGACAGTTGGTAGCATTCTTGCATCTGAGGTGGAAGGTTATGGACTCGAACCTTATTCTGGGTCTTTGAATTTGCATACACTGAGACTCCAATGCAATGCTGGGGATGTGCTGCATTGTTGCATTAGTCATATGTCCCGACATGAAACAACAGCAACAACAAAATTATATTTATAGAGCATCTTTCATGTCGGGAGGAAGTCCCAGGGCACTGGACAGTCGGAGGTCAGGACCTGAGCATGGGGGTGGGGTAGGGGTGAGGGAAGGCAGAGAGGTGGGAGGGCGACTAAAGGCATGATCGAAGAGTAGGGTCTTGAGACAGTCCTTGAAGGAGGCGAGGGAGGAAGTGAGGCAAAGGGACTGTGGGATGGAGTTCCAGAGTGTGGGGGCAGAGAGGCTGAAAGCCCGGCCACTGATGCTAGAGCGGGTCGGGACACATGGAGCAGACCGGAGCCCGCTGAGTGGAGAGAGTGGACAGAAAAAAAAGAGAGAATGGAGAGATGGACAGAGACAAAGAAAAAAATGTGAATTTCAAGCCTGGGCGATTAGATATCTCCATTTATTAAATGTATTGAGTTGATAGGCAGAATTTATTTTGTGTTCAGCTGTGTTTCTGATGCATGTGAAAATCCATTCCCCCTGCTTAACCCATTCATCATGGAGTCCTGTAGCGTAGTAGTTAGCGCACTCAGCTCGCAAACGAGAGGACCCGGGTTTGATTCCCAGACAGGGCGAAATCTTAGGCAAGTTTCCTTACTCCACACACCTCTGTTTATCTAGCGGTAAGAGGAACCCGGTTGTTAATCGATTTATGGAACGGTTTCTGGGGTCATAATCCCTTCAAAAAAAATTTGGTCATTCAATCCACCACTGTTTGCGGGACACTGCTGTGCAGAATTGGCTCCTGTGTTTCACCCACAAATTACACAGTTAATCCACTTTATAATATATTCCGTGAAGCCGTGATAAGGCGCTATATCAAATGCAATGATTACTATTATTATTAAGAGCATCCAAACTAGACTGAGAGTTCCACATACTGTATGTACTGCCACCTCCACATGTACGTTTCCCTGGAATGAAGTTAGCACTCTTTCTCTTTCTCTCTCTCCCTCTCTCTCTCACTTATTTAATTTTGGGGAGAGCCAAATCAGTAATCACTCTTGTAATCAATCAGTAATTGCTCTTGCAATTCTGTAAGGATTCTGTCACTGTGAAGCTGAAGTTGGTTTCCTGTGTTGTTTGACGATTGAACCGAAATACCCACAAACATTATGCAGAAGAGAAAAGATTCACAGAAGCAGAATGGATCGAGTGTAGCTGCCTTTGTGTGACGGTCTGGACTGACTGACTGACTGACTGACAGCCGCTCAACCCAACCAGGAGAGCCACTGCTGTGTCAGTCAATGCAAATCACAGACGAAGTGGGGAATGAGATGGAAGATGACATGGGGAGTTGCTGCCAATCGTTTTAATGATGAGATGTCTTTGTGTGTGTGTGTATGTGTGTGATTGTGTGTGCGAGAGAGCGAGAGCTATAAACCTAACAAAGGCTGGGAAATATAGGGACTAAATCTGCAATTTTTTTTTAATTTCAGATAAATTGCAGTGAAGCCAATTTGCCAGTTGAAAGCAGAGAAATTAACAGGTGGGGTCACTTTTTTTATATAATCGTTTGCATGTGCAAATTGAAAGGTTAAATGGAGCCACATCCTGTAACAGAGGCCGGTTGAATGAGTAATGTTTTTGAAATTGTACTTTTATTGGTTTTAAAAGAGGATAGATCCCTGTGTGTGTGTGTGTTTTAATCTGTGTGTTAATCTCAAATTAACATTGCAATGCAGAAATCTTTCTTTCAGATCCCGCTTGTGTTGGGGAAAATAATACCCCTTATTTGTGATGCTTTGTATATCGTTATCTTCCCCACCCAACCCCCATACACACGCAGAAAAGTACCATAAATTGGCAAGAACATAGCCCCCCCCCCCTCAGATATCTAGGCTGTTATCTCTGTGGACACACACCTTTGCCCTCCGATCTATCTGAGATCTGTTTAAAACATACTATTTTACAGATTCTGATGCTTTTTACAGTACATAATTTTTATAGTGGAGACCTGTAGTGTAGTGGTTAGAGCACTTGCTTCACAAGAGAGAAGACCCTGGTTCGATTCCCGGGCAGGGCCAAACCTTAGGCAAGTTTCTTTATTTTAGGGTAATAGTCCCTCCAAAAAAATGTGGTCATTCAATCCACAATTATTTGTGGGACACTGCCGTGTACAATTGCCTGCCATGTTTTGCCTACAAATATACAGTCAATCCACTTTACAGTATATATTCTGTGAAGCACTTTGCGACGTCTCAACAAACTGATAAGACACTACAACGACAACAAAATTACATGTGTTTAGCGCCTTTAACGTCGGGAGGACATCCCAAGGTGCTGGACAGACAGAGTTATGGATCCGAGCTGAGGGTCGGGGTGGGTGGAGGGCAGGGGGGGAAGCAGGGAGATCGAAAGTTTATCAAATGCAAGGGTTATTATTATTACGGTGCATTGGGGAGCATTCCTGTGGTGTTTTTTCTGTTGATCGGTGAGATGTGGGGCTGGATGGAAATACAGCAATATACAATTTCACTCCCTGCAACATGCACCAGACAAAGAGCCACAGTGCGGAACTGGATCATCACAACCCAGGTTGGTCGAGGATCCATCCATGGACAGTGTTAGGTTTGTTGTTGCCGGTCAGGGCAGAGTGTATGTGCCCAGAGATTTCCATTATATTCAGATGAAATATTAATGCTTCCCCTGTCTTTTAATAATAATCTTCAAGACGTCTCAAAACGCATCGCAGAATATACTGTAAAGTGAATTGACCGTATATTTGTGGGTGAAACACGGCAGCCATTTGCGCACAGCAGTGTCCCACAAACAGTCGTGGATTGAGTGAATAAATTATCATTTTTTTTTAGACGCGTAATTACCCCTGGAAAAGTGAACCACTAAGCAACTAACAACTGGGTTTCTGCTTGTTGTCCGGTAAACAGAGGTGTGCGGTTAAGGAAACCTGCCTAAAGTCCCGCACTGCCTGGGAATCGAAACTGGTTCCTCTCACTTTCGAGGCGAGTGCTCTAACCACTACACTATAGGGTTCCGTATACAATACTCCATAGTCCTCTGCCCTAATCAAGACAGGTTTAGTATTGCCTCTTTGCATTGGTAGTGTATCTGCCTGGTTATAAATCCAGGAATGCCATTAGCTTTTATACCTCGGACAATTTAATCTTAAATCCCGTTTCGCCCACAAAATATACAGTCAATTCACTTTACAGTAAACCCTGTGAAGCACTTTGAGACGACTCAACGACGTGATAAGGAGCCCTATCAAATGGAAGGATTATTAATAGTATTATTATTTTTACGCACTTTCCCTAATTCTGGCCTCTTGCAGATTGATTGGGAAATGCCCCCGAATACGGAAGTGGAGCCCGGCGTCTCCGAGGGAACGTGGTTGAGGAACAGCGCACTGGGAGCTGCCTCCAGCTGGCTGGCCACACTGCTGACCTTCCCTGTCCACAAGACCATATTCCGACAGCAAATCCACGGCTTCGTCATCCGGCAGGCGGTGTCGCAGCTCTACCAGGAAGGCCTGCTCCAGTTTTACCGCGGGATCCTCCCTCCTCTCCTGTCCAAAACCATCCAGGGCACCTTACTGTACGGCAGCTATGACAGCCTCATGCCCGTCCTGTTCCCTCAGGAGCCTGTGTCCTACCAGCGCAGCACTGCAGGGTGTCTGGCTGGAGCCATCGAGGCCCTGGTCCTCACGCCGTTTGAACGCATCCAGAACGTTCTTCAGGACCACAGGAAAGTGGCCAAACTCCCCCACGTGCAGAGTATCCTGAAGGAGTTCTATTCATACGGTTTGAAGGGGTCGCTCCAGCTCGGGTACTATCGAGGCTTCCTCCCCGTCCTGTTGAGGAACTCCACAGGCAGTGCCCTTTATTTCACCTTTAAAGATCCCATCAAGAATTCTCTGTCGGACCAGGGTCTCCCCGTTGGCATCTCGGCTTTCGTCTCGGGCAGTGTGAACGGGGTGGCCATCTGCCTGGCTCTGTACCCACTGAGTGTACTGGTCGCCAACGTCCAGTCTCAAGTGGGAGCCGGGACTCAGAGCCTCCGCACCTCCGCTCAGAACCTGTGGGCCTCTCGTAGCGGGAAGCTGCTGTACGTTTACCGGGGAAGCTCTCTGATCGTGCTGCGCTCCTGCCTCTCCTGGGGCATCACCACCGCCATTTATGAGCTATTAAGGGGGGGCAACAACCACTGAGGTGCGGAGCGATGATTCGAACTGAACTGGATCTTCTCAGGGGTTTCCTACATTCTGAACCCAAAACAAGCACATTTACAGCCTTAATCAAGTGAATGTGAAGAATGAGAAGCTCTTACGTCAACGAGTGTGTGTATGTGCGCACGTGTGTGTACGCGCTTGTGTGTGTGTGTGTGTGCGCATGTGTGTGTGTGTGTGCACGCGTGTTGTGTGTGCACATGTGTGTGTGTGCGTGTATGTGCATGTAGGAATCCCAAGTCCTTGCCCATTGTAGTAGGGAATTGTAGGGAATTCTGTTTTTATCGCAAAAATCTGTGAATTTGTCACTGTGAACTTACTATCAACAGTAATCTGATTCTATTCAGTAAAACTCGCTTACGTCTTATCTTTATAAATCGTATAATCACCGAAGTTGTACATTCACCCGAGTCCTATTTCATATCAAAAACCAGTTCGATGTCTTTGCTCTATTTTGCATTAATCATCTCTCCATACTCATAACCCCCTCCCCTACCCTCCACGACTCCCACACTTACCGGCTGCATTGAATCATGAAAAATGACATCCAGACCCATCGACCTGTGCACACTTATCGATCAGCTGAATTGAATCACACAAAATGTAATCACCGCATGTGCGCTTACTGGCTGCATTGAATTGCACAGGCGCAGTGTAGATTATTGATTAAATCAGATTTTATACGGTTTATACACTTTGCCTGTAACTCGGACTTCGAGTAAGTCGTGTGAGTCATATTAACTGTTATGATAGGACTTGTGTGATGTATGTAATTAAACATGTAATGTATTGTAAAAGTTTGTTGCGATCCTCAACTGCGAACTCCTCCTGGTGTCTTTAGCCACTCGTAGGATTTAAGAGGTTAAACGATAACCATTCCTTTGTTGCAAGCAAACTGCGGAACTACCTCAAAATCCCGGGATTCTCTAAGCACTGATCTGAGGACATGTTGGGAATTCTATTCCCTTAGTGGAATCGAAGCTCTCTCATTCCCGAATCTCTCCATGTGAAAAAGTTTCTGTTGTTTTGAGCTGGAGAGTGATATGTTCATGTAAACGTGCGTGTATGTTGTGTGTAATTTGTAAACTGGGCTTAAATAGAGAACGAAGTGCCCTTCTGTTAGTTTCAAATGCAACTCGTGCCTTTGCTGGGGCTGTGAGGGTCTGCGTTGGCTGCGCTGTGAAAGCATAGGAAACATAGGAGCAGGAGGAGGCCATTCAGCCCCTCGAGCCTGTTCCGCCATTCTATTAGATCATGGCTGATCTGTACCTCAACTCAAATTACCTGCCTTTGATCCATATCCCTGGATACCCTGAGCTAACAAGAGGTGCCCTGGAGCACTGTCTCAGGGGTTATACAGACTGTGGTGATGGTGATGGACACCTGTGTCTCAGACAATGGCTGAGGTGGATGATGAGAAGTGATCTTTTGCCCAATCCAATGGCACAAGTTGTGGTAGACTGTCACACATCATCCACACCGTATTCAGTAACTGGTTTGTCCCATACATGTTTAAATTGAATAGTGACGTTAGTACAGTCTGACTGTAAAGAGAGATGTCAATGAGATCACATTTATAAGCATTGCAAACTGATTTGGATCTGGCGCGTCCAGTTATTCATCGGCTCAGTGTCTCTCACGTGTGATAACTCTGGACCTGCAGGCGTCTCAGTCTAAATATACCTTGTGTAATCTCATTTTAGTACAGAGAAGGGTGATTTGGTCACTCAATCCACGACTGTTTGTGGGACGATGCTGTGTGCAATTGGCTGCCACATTACGCCTGCAAAATATACAATCAATTCACTTTACAATATAACCTGTCGAGGGCCTTGAGACATCGCAAGGCGCTATATCAAACACAAGGATTATTAATATTGTCCACAAAATCATTGCTAATTCATCCGAACTCAATTGGCAAGTAGAAATATGTACAGAAGGAGGAGAGTGCACTCTACACAGCCCAGAGATAAACACTGTGGAAGAGGAAACCAAAGCACTTCTGGTGTTTATAAAGCACTTGAGGTCTGCTGTTCTGGCTTGTAAAACACTGACATATTTGAACAGTATGTTCCCAGGTTTGTGCTTTTAAGATGATATTGTAGCTTTGTTCATTTTTATATTTGGAAGTCAATAAATTTGCTATCATTTTATCCATTGTTTCTTCTATGTGTGTAGTAAACACTGTATTGTACCTTTTCAAAGATAGAGTTTCCTCTACACTGGCTCAACTATCCAGTCAGTTACGACATAGTAAAGTTCAGTAAAGCTCCTTCTACACTGTCCGTCCACACTCCACACAATGACAGCACGGGTTAGAGACAAAGTAAAGTTCCCTCTACACTGTGATGCTTGACACATCAGTTCACGTAAAAATTTAATTGATGGCGGCTAGTTGCTCAGGCAAATCACAAAGGACTCGGAGGAGACACACAGAGACAAAAGAGACTACGGCTCCCAAACTGCACTGCTGTTTCTGTGCATTGCCCTTCTCCCTCTCCCCCTAAAAGGATTAACCTGGTCAGAGTTAGAGCAAGGAATTATCCAAATCCAGATTAGATTGCACGCAGGGCTGCAGAAAACGATCCGGAGAGTAAGGAATTGCAGTGTTTGGAGAGAATCAGATTCCACCTGAAATATCCCCAAACTCCCGAGTAACACATCAACAACAACAACAACAACAAGATTCCATTTATAAAGCGCCTTTCACGTCAGGAGGATGTCCCAAGGCGCTGCACAGTTGGGTCATGGAGCCAGGATGGTATTCCTGTAGATGTGTGGGTCGCTGTCAGGCTGAGGATCGCCTGTGACTCTCTGCAACAGATAAGCTTTAACGACTGAGATCTGTGAGATCTGAACTATTACATCCACTGAATTGAACACCGTACTCCAACATTCAACATCTTTACTCTGAATGTGGTTACATCTGGGCTGTTGTGTGGGGAGAGAGCGATTCACCCAGTCACTTTGGGACTGTTTTTTGTGTGAGTACTCTGTGTCCTTTAACTCAATTAAACTCTTATTGCTACTGCATGTTGCCCTCTCGCCTGCCTGTTCTCCCTCACTATGTTGGCATTAATCGCACTCATTGAAACGATGGGGATCAGATTTGCAAATATTTGTGGATTTGAGTGACCACAATTGTTATTAGAGGGGTTATTAAAACCCGGAAAGCAATCCACCAATCGACTAACAGCTAGGTTCCTACTTACCTGTTGGAGAGGTAGGTGGAGTAAGGAAACTTGACTCAGGTTTCGCCCTGTCCGTGAATCGAACCCGGGTCCTCTCTCTTGCAGGGCAGGTGTGCTAACCAATACCCTATAAGACTTCACATTCCAGTGTAAGGAATAAAGATATTAAAATGCCATTGTGCATTAACAGCAGCAGATAATAGTTACCACATTTGCTCCCGAGCTAGGGGTTTGGATCACGAGGGTGGAGGGCAGGGCTAGGAGTATGACCGAAGGCTCTTGTGACGGGTCTTGAAAGAGGCAAGAGAGGTGGTGAGGTGAAGGGACTGTGGGATGGAGTTCCAAAGGGGAAGGAGTGAGGTGGAGGAACAATGTCAAATAATTGGGAATTTAAATTTCACCCTTTTACAATATTTTATATAAGTTAAAAAGAAATTGTAGGAAAGGGGCTGCGCCAGAGCAGGGAATTGGGATGTCGACTATCAGCACCAGTTTAGGCTTGAAGGACTGAATGGCTTCCCCAGTACTGGAATCTCTATGGTTCGATAATGTTTCTCCTACAAAATACACAGTCACTCCACCTTGTAATATATTCTGTGAAGCGTTTTGAGATGTCTCAATGACATAATAAGGTGCAAGGATGATTATTATTATTAATGTTCTAAAGGTGAAGTTTTCTTATCTAGCAGTCCAGTGTGATGGAGAAGAGAGACTGAAGCAGTTCATGTCTTCCTTTAACTTCTCTGTTGCCATGTTTGAATGAGTGGCGTCCAATGAGGTAGACAGTCAGAGAGAGGCCTGGGGTCAGTGAAGTAAAGACCCAGTGAGTCAGTGAAGGAATGGAGCTGGTTGTGACTAAGAAAGAAAAAGAATGAGAAATGGCAGTAGTTGTTGAGGTTGAAAAGGAGTTGGTGAAGAGAAGAGAGTATGTGGTCCTTGACACACCAGCTCTTGCCAGGCTGCACTGGCTACAATTATCGAACGGATCGATTTAAGATCCTCTCACTTGTTTTCAAATCCCTTCATGCCCTTGCACCTCCCTACCTCTCCGACCTGCTTACACCCCACTCCACCACCCACTGCCTCCACTTGGCCGGCTCCGGCCTCCTGTTTGTCCCTCGTCTCCTCCGCTCCACCATTGGTGGCTGTGTCTTCAGCCACTATTCCCCGAAACTCTTTCCCTCAATCTCTCCGCCTTGCCCCCTCCTTCAGATCCCGCGTAAAGACCTTCCTTTTTGATTGTGTTTACAGTCACCTCCCTGGCTCGGGGGCAGACTCTGCCACTATCAAGCATTGCTGAACGCTACCTCACGTGAAGGGCGCTATATAAATGCAAGTTGTTTATGCTGTTGTTGTTAGTGAGATGGTCACCCCCTGGTGTATCTGTTGCCAAATGGAGAAGCAGGGATGATTGTAACCAATCTTCCCATCTATTACAGGAATTGCTTGCTAAAGAGAGGGCACATCACCTTGTCAGCCTCTCATGCACGAACACTGCTGATGTTGTGGGTGTAAAGTCCCCAACCCCAACACAGGACGAGCTTGCAATGTCCACCCTGAGCAGTGTTAGAGATCCACGCAAACAGGCCCCCATGGTAAGTGATGATTCACCTGTGTGGTAAGTCACCTGCCTGCTTTCAAATGAATAATTATATTAACAATTCTTGCATTTGATACAGCGCCTCATCACATCTTTGAGACGTCTCCAAGTGCTTCACGGAATATACTGTAAAGTGAATTAACTGTGAATTTTGCGGGCGAAATGTAGCACCCGACTGCACACAGCAGTGTCCCACAAACAGTCGTGGATTAAGTGACCAAATTATTATTATTTATTTATTATTATTTATTTTTGAAGGGATTATTACCCACTGGAAAGTGATCCGCCAATCGATTAAAAACCGGGTTCCTACTTACTGCTGGGTGAACAGTGGCGTGTGGAGTAAGGAAACTTGCCCAATGTTTCGCCCCGGGAATCAAACCCACTAGCGAAGCTAGTGCTCTGACCACTGAGCTAAAGGCACCATATTTACAGGGATCTGTGAGCCTGCGCTCATTTACTGTCACAAGCATTCCCCTACTGGGTAGAGTGGACCTTAAATATCTCTTGACACTTGTGTCACAGCGAAGGGAGCTGCTACCAGTTTCCTGGCCAACAACTCTGCAGATAAATTGTTCATTCCCCTCACCGCTGTGTGTGGGACCTTGATATGTGCAAAGTAACCGCCATGTTTGCCAACAGCAAAAACTGGAACAACACTCAATAGCAGTGAAGTTCTTTTGAGATGTTTTAATTTTATCGTTTCAACTTTAACTTTAAGCACTTTGAGATGCCACTGTTGTGAAAAGCGCTATATAAATTATGCGTATAAATTGTCCTGTAGTGTAGTGGTTAGAGCACTCGCCTCACAAGCGAGAGAACCAGGGTTTGATTCCCGGCAGCGCGAAACCATAGGCAAGTTTCCTTACTCCACACGCCTCTGTTTACCTCACAGTAAGTGGGAACCCGGTTGTTAGTCGATTGTCGGATCACTTTTCGGGGGTAATAATCCCTCCAAATAAATAAAATTGGTTACTCAATCCACGATTGTTTGTGGGAAACCGATTGGCACAATTGGCTGCTGCGTTTCACCCACAAAATACACAGTCAATCCACTTTACAGTATAATATGTGAAGCGCTTTGAGACCTCTCAACAAGGTGCTATATCAAATGCAAGGATTGTTATATTATGATTACATTATTATTTTCGTAAATGCAAGTTGTTGTTGTTACAGATGCTCTAAAAATACAAATTCCTCTTCTCCCTTGTGACGTCCCCTGATGTTCCAGGTGTGAAGTTCTCTGTCACCTCCAGCACCACCTGCCCACTCACCGCCATGTTCAGCCTCATCACAAACTGCTGTAGCTGGGCTCGCAAGGTTCACGAGCCTCTCAGGTGGGTCTGGCCATATATCACACCTTTAAGTAGATCCATTCAAATTTCAAGACTGAGGTGGATAGATGTTTATTATGTCAGGATATCAAGGGATATGGGGCAAAGACGGGCATTTGGAGTTGAGATACAGAATATAAACTTACATTTACACAATGGCTTTCTGATCGGGAGGATGTCCCAAGGCACTGGACAGTCAGGGATTTGGACCCGAGCAAGTGGGGAGGGGATCAGGGAGGGTGGACAGGAGGGTGGCCTGTGGCGCATTCGAAGAGGAGTGTCATGAGATGTGCCTTGAAACAGGTAAGGGAGGGCGCGAGGCAAAGGGAATGTGGGATGGGGGCAGAGAGGCTGAAGGCCCAACTGCTAATGGTGGGGCCTTGATCTAATAGAATGGCGGAGGCTCAAGGGGCTGAATGGCCTTCTCCTATTCCTATGTTCCTAAGAGACAGACAGTAGCTTATAAGAATTGATAGGTCTGTGCTTAGATGAGTCAGAATGCAATTGATTTTGCTGAAGAGAATAATTTCCTGTTAGTTTTGAATATGTGGAAAACTTTGGTATAAAGATCCACACTGCAAATTAGCCCTGGACTTGGGAGTGCTGGACAGACAGTGTAGAGGAAGATTTACTCTGTATCTAAACTGTGCTGCAGCTAATCTGGGAGTGTGGATGGACAGTGTAGAGGGAGCTTTATTTTGTTTCTCTGTTTCGTCAATTCACTTTACAATATATGAGGTGAAGCGCTTTGAGACGTCTCGAAGGCGTGATATGGTCAAGGATTATTATTATTATATTATCTAATCCATGCAGGCTGTGACCTGCTTTACGTCACCCGCCCGGCCCACTCCTCCATCAGCAGCCTGGCCTTCAGCCTTTCTGCCCCACCCTATGGAACTCCATCTCGCATTCTCTTGGCCTTGCTCCCTCCCTTGCCTCCTTCAAGGCACATCTCAAAACCCTCCTCTTCGACCGAGCCTTCGGCCACCCTTCTCCCTGCCCTCCACTCTCCCCGATCCCAACCCCAATTCGGGTCCAAATCTCTAACTGTGCAGCACCTTGGGACGTCCTCCCGACGTGAAAGACGCTGTGCAAATGTAATTTGTGTTGCAGCTTATCTGGGAGTGCTGGCTAGACAGTGTAGCTTTGCTGAATATGTAACCTGGATTCAACTTGTTCACTGATCATCGATAAATAATTCTGAATAAATAATTCTTATCCGAACAATGTCAGGCAGCCATACCTGATGGAGAGGACCATAGCTGTAACAGCATTGCTAACACTTATTAGCTCCCAGCGAAGGCAATGGCAGGGGTTGCCATGGATGGTGCTCAGCTGCCCTATTCAAAGTGAAATTGTTCCGCCATTACAACGGGGAGAAATCAGAACATATCCGTATTCATTGACGTGTGAATCACATTCATTGGAATCCATTACTGGGATAAATTACGTGTCAGCCTGGCTCAAGTGGGAGTCTCTTGTCTCCCAGTCAGGGGGTTTGGGGCTCGAGCCCCCATGTCAGGCCTTTGATCTCACAGTCCAGGCGGACACTCCAGTACAGCGCTGGGGATGTGCTGCAATGTCGGAGGATCCGTCTGTGGATGATGTGCTATCTGCCTGTTGTGATGGATTTTAAAAGATCCTGTTGTGATACTCAAAAAGATCCCAGTCCCAGTGTCCTGGACAACAGTCCCCCAGATAAAATTGTTTTTGAGTTCATGGCTGTTTGTGGGACATTGGCTACCGCATTCGACTACAAAATAGACTCACTACTCGTCATAGTACATCCTGTGAAGCACTTTGCCTCGTCCTGCAGACGTGAATGAAGTTATATTGAATGTAAGGATTATTATAGCTTTAATTGAGAGGTGTGGTTGATGTTAAACTGATCACCAACGCCTTAGTTGCAGACCACAACTTTGTACGTGGCTGGCTTTCTCCCAGATCTGAGTCCATTTTTTTTCTGTCTCTCTTGCAGGAGCGTTACTCTGCTGATCCTAGGATTGGGCAACGCAGGGAAAACCACAATCTTTAAAGGAATTAGGAAAGGTAAGTGAAACACTGCTATTTGCCTACAAAACACAGTCACTACACTTTCCAGTAAATGCTGTGAAGCGCTTTGAACATCCTCCTGGTGTTAAACTGCAATATCAAATGCAAGGATTATTATTTTTATTGTTATAGTGGCTTGAACAAAAGAGAATAGAAACTGGAGGACACCTGTATTTTTTAACTGTATCAGTGTGAATCCTCTTCGGCCGCGCCTTCAGTCACCCTCCTACCCCTACCCTCCCCGCCCTCCACGCCTCCTGATCCCAACCCCCAGCTCGGGTGCAAATCCTTGACTGTCCATTACTATGGGACAGCCCCTTGACGTGAAAGGCGGTGTACAAATGCAATTTGTTGTTGTTGTTCAGTTCTATATGGAACAAGAAGCTACAAATGTTTTAAAAATAGGAAATGAACCAGTTTCTGCCACCTAAGACGATTGTGGTTGATTTGGTTTCGAGACGGAGACATCAAAGGGATCTAGTGGGAAACCGATGGATTGGTAGACAGGCTGATCTATTCCTGTCCGAAATTATTAATAGATTAGAATCGAGACTGTGTGAACAGGTTGGAATCCCCTCAGCAAGTTACTTAGTTACACTCAAACCCTCTTTTTATTGCAGTGGTTTTGGAATCCAAGAAGCAGGGAACCAGCATCTTCTTTGGGGGCTATTCAGAGAGGTCGGGGGAGAGGGGAGGGGGGGATTTCCAACCACATTTTAATAATATTCCTAAATTAATTAAAGGAATATCTTTAGGAATGCTGCAATTTTGACTTTTTTCTTAAATCAAGTGAGGTTCTTGCACTAAAATGGTTGATAGCCAGGCATTAAGCTATTCTGGGTCATTGGATCTCTGCCGACATCACTTCCTGTGTGCATTCCATGCACCGGAAGTGATGTCGGTAGAGATCTAATGACTTGGCATTCGGCCATTTTAGCTTCCCGCGCATTACAAAATGGCCGACTTCCAGGTCATCGGGTTGAAAACTATGTCATTTCTTGCTTTGGACACGTCGGAAGTGATGTCAGTGGTGAACTGATGTTGGCCATTGGTAACAGCCCAGTGTACGGGGAGTGAACCCGCCAGCGATGATCTTGGTGCAGAGTGTGTTGTTGGAGTGACTGCTGGAGTCTAACCAGCTACAACCACATTGAGAGCTCTGTCTGGCAAGCTTTCCCAGCCAGGACCACTCTACCCGTTAGGGCTTTGGCTTGCAGGATAAACAGGAGCTGAGTGGGATGGCTCCCTGCCCCCAGTATCTGGTTTGCCCTTCCCGGTCCCGCCGATGGTCCAGGCTGTGCTGTCATCAACAGTGCCCTGGAATACTGCAGACCCACCTGGATCAGGAACAAGACTGCTGAGACCGCCACAGAAGGGTGGCTTGATTCCAACATCCCGTTGCAAGCAGGTCACCTTGGAGACCCGTCTTAACAATGCACAAAGAGGAAGCAGAGCACACATCGTAACATCCTTAATCCATTAAATCCCAACCAATACTGATCCGATCAGCAAGCTGTTTAGGGCTGCTGCAATGGTTGGCCACAGAGCCAGATAGAGGTCAACCTGCTTATTACAGACTGGATCACAGATATTCACTGTTACAATTCTCATTAGAAACAGTATTTTGGTGAGTGGTGGGAATGTGGAATTCCAAGATAAACGAAAAAAGTTATTTTCCCACAATTTCATTACAGTGAAATAATGGGAACTTTGCTCTCTGTAAACACATGGTGTAGCTGACCCGGGAATGTGGATGGACAGTGTAGAGGGAGCTTTACTCTGTCTCTAACCCGTGTTGTCACTGACCTGGGAGTGTGGACGGACGATGTACAGGAATCTCTGCTCTGGGTTCATGTTATACCTGACCAGCGAGTGTTTGATGATGACATTAGGTAAGAAAAATGGAAAGAGTTTTCTATTCTTGATCACTGACACTAAACGTCATTAAAATAAAAATAGCAAGCTATGAAGGAGCTGAATACATTTCTAAACAATCATCTTCTTGCCTCCATCAGAGTCCCCCTTTTGCACGACTCCCACTCTGGGATTTGCCAGGAGTAAGCTTATGCTGGACCGGTTTGAGGTGACACTCTTTGACTTGGGTGGAGGGGAGAAGTTCCGAACCTCCTGGAGGAACTTTTACGCGGAGACGCACGGTGTTGTCTTTGTCGTTGACTCTACGGATGTCAAACGGACAGCGGAAGCCGGGAATGTCCTCTCAGAGGTTCTGAAGCATCCCAAGATTTCGGGGAAGCCTGTGCTGGTGTAAGCATGGTAACAGCCCAGTGTACGGGGCAGGGCGGACGGACTTGTTAAAAAACATCTAGTTGTGTGGCTGGAGCGAGCCAGTTGGTAGTGGCTGATTGGGGTGCAAGTGCTCTGGGATGCTACCCTGTGTGAGGGGCGTTATATAAATGCAAGTAGCTGTTGTTGTCGCAAGGACCGCAAGATTTCTGATGTTCTTATTAAGGTCATGGGCATAAAATTGGGAGGATTCTTAAATTCAGCCTAATATTTGGCATAACTACAGAAACACAGATCCCAAATTGGTTTCCAAATTCCACATAACCTTAACCTGTAAGGACATTGAGCCTATGAACGTGAAGAATTTCAGGTCCTGGTAAGGACAAGGTGGGAGTGCTGTAATCACTGGGCCCACACACGAGCAACACTCACTACAGGAGAATTTACAGAAATACAGGATGGGTTTGGGATCTGCAGAGCCTTTTCAAAGTATTGTCCAATGCTGCGTATCCGCACAAAGACTGTCTGTGCCTCTGACTCTACATTAACCTGCAATATTTTGTGTGATATCCATGCAAGAGGCAGAAATACACACACAGGTCCACACATACACCCAGAGTTAGAGTCTGATGCACAGATACCCAGAGGCAGATATCCATTAACTGCACAAAGTTATTTTTCCACAATTTCCTTAGCAAGGCTGCAGGTGAGGTATGTTTTGTGAACTTTACTCTGTCGCTAAACCGTGCTGTTTCTGACCTGGGAGTGTGGATGGATATTGTACGGAATACAACAGGGCTGGTCCCAAACAGTGCAGATATGGGGCTTGCTACTCAAGGAAGGAAAACGTAGTCAGTTGGCAGCGATGTTCCACAGCCTGACTAGTAACTTCTTTTCTCTTCGTCGCTCAGGCTTGCGAACAAACAAGACAAGGCTGAGGCCCTGTCAGAGTCGGACATCGTGGAGCAGATATCTCTGGGGAAACTGGCCAATGAAAACAAATCCATGTGCCGCATTGTAAGTTGCGAAGGCTTCCTCTGTAAACGCTTTCACCGTCTCGTTTCTTCCCGTTAACATTTGACTTGCAATGACCTGCCCAACGCTTTGAGACGTCTCAAAGACATGATAAGGTGCTATTATCAAATGCGATTGTGTAAACGCTAACTCAGGCAATCTGTCCTCTCTGTGTGTAGGAGCCGTGTTCGGGGACTCTGGACTACGCTGAGAAGAAGCTGGACAGGACGGTGCTGCGGGGGCTGAGGTGGCTCCTTTGGACCATCGCCAGGGATTACGCCCATCTGAGCACTCGCCTGATCCAGGACAGCACGGGGGAGAAGGGTCGAGGACAGCAGCCGGAGAGAGTGGAGGGAGCGTCGCTAACAAAGAAAATCCAGAGAGAGAGGTGAGCGGTTTGATTCCCGGGTGGGGCGAAATCTTAGGCAAGTTTCCTTACTCCGCATGTCTCTGCTTACCTAGCAGTAAGTAGGAACCCAATTGCTAGTCAATTGGTAGATCGCTCTCCTGGGTAATAATCCCTTAAAATTATAATAATTTGGGCACTTAATCCATGATTCTTTGTGGGACACTGCTTTGAGTGTCTTTGAGACGTCTCAACAATGTGATAAGGCACTATATCTATATAAAATGTAAGGATTGTAATTATTATTAGAGAGAATGACGGGAAGATGGGAACCTGGTGTGTGTTCCACTGTTGATTTATTTTGCTGCTGATGAACATCCACTGGATGTGAAGGCCTTTGGTATTTGGTGTTCTTTGGCAATACTTATTTCCAAGTTTAGGATAATGTTTTAATTCTTTTCACATGACAGCTGGGCACCATCCAGTGTCTGTGACCTGTCTGTCGCTATGACAGTGCAGTTGGGTGCTTAGACCTCATGGTTCACAGTTATGGGGAGCGGGAAATCTCTGAGGCATACAACCCAGCAAGGTCCTGGGTTCAAATCCCGAGCTGCGCTGAATTAGGTAATCAAGGCTCTGGGAACAATGAGAGAAAAGCTGCTAATATTGGGATTAGCATTCCAGCCCTGGGCAGGAGAAAGACTCCTTCTATGATTGGTATCTGCTAACGCTCACTGAAAATATTACCTGTGAAGACAGGATCAAGCAAGACCACCATCAATGTCAAACAGTCCAGGCTCTCACAGGAATACAATGTACAACCACTTGGATAAGCTGCCAGAGGACAACATTTACACAAGGGCATCCCTACACCAGTATCAGTCATTGATTTTAGTTCTGCATAAGAATTCAAGCTTATGGCCTATTCTTGGGCTTTGTTTTATTCTGGAGCATTCACTTAACAAACACTCAAAGATAACTTTGGACCAGACCAGTGTAGAGAAAGGTTTATTCTGTAATCTGTGCTATAGCTGGTCTGAGAATGCTAGGGATAGTGTAGAGGGATCTTCACTCTGTACATAATCTGCTGTCACTGACCTGGGAGTGTGGACGGACAGTATAGAGGGAACTTTACTCTGTCTCTAACCGGTGCTATCACTGACCTGGGAGTGTGGATGGTCAGTGTCAAGGGAGCTCTACTACGTATCAAATCCATATTAGATCAAAACAGTGTGGAAACTTTGTGCAAGTACTTATTGTGGGTGGATCTCAAACTTAATCCAGGAAACCTGCAGCTCAGATTCTGATCACACGTGTAAGGCGTCTCCATGAAAAAAAGTGTTGTTTACCTTTCACAGGAAGAGGAAAGCCAAAGTAGCACAGCAGAAACAACAGCCAACAGAACCTGAAACTTTACCTCGCTCAAAGCTTAGCACTTCCAGGAACATAAATAATGTTATCAATGCACAGGTATGTTCCTTCCCTTCTCCAATGGCAATCCCTTTCTAACCGCTTATCCTGACTCGACCTTTGTCGACGAGCACCAATAACCTTCCAAAAAGGAGACAACATTTTATTTTGGTTTGGTGGACATCTTCATGTTTTCTTTTTCGGAGTTTGTGTTGGTTCCATCAATGCTGGTTACAGGAAATTCTATGCAGGAAACTGAGCTAAATTGTGTGTGTGCCCGCACCCCCACCCCTCCCTCACCCCATGCCTCACACACTAAACCACAGAGGCTGTGTGCACTAACGCAAGGTTAAACAATTCTTCATTGCATCAGCATGATTCAGTTGGTTGCACTCTTGCCTCTGGTTCAGAAGGTTAAGCCTATATTGGGACCTTTGCTCACACTTTGGCTAAAGGAAATGCAGATCTTCATATGAAATGGTAAACCAAGTTCCTGTAGTTATTGTTCAAGGAGACATTAACTTGGGACGTCCTCCCGATGTGAAAGGCACGATACCAATGTAATTTTGGGGTTGGCATTATTGGAAAAGTGAAAGGAGTTTCCCCCGGTGTCCTGGACAATAATGCTTCAGATAATTTCTCGTGGAACCTTGCAGTGTCTGAAATGGCTGCTGTGTTTCCTTATAAAAAGTGACCTTTGGATGTGGGGAGGAGCTCCAACAGCGAAAGTTCTTTCATTCTTTCATTCAACAGAATGAAGAAAAAATCAAGAAGTTGGTGATGAGGAGGAAGAAGAAAATGAAGCTGAGGTTTGGGACCAGTTCACTGACCACGGTGGAGACGAGGAAGCTTTCTGCTGCGAACAGCCCCATTCTGGGCTCCAGAGTGGACACAAGGGGCAATTCCTCCACAGCCTGGAAAAGAAAGAGCAAGCGGGCAGAAGGCAATGCTCTGCTGGAGAGCCCATCGAGAGAAAGTAAAATGCTTCTCTCGAGTACTGTGGATCTAGAATCCAATGCAGGTACACTTGGCGTCCTCTGCTCATCCCAAAAGCTAAGTTCTAGGCAATTAAGTGAATGGGAAGCTATTAGTCCAAAGGAATTCTCAACATTAAGCAGGAAAGGTTGCAATGCTCTGTGTGATGAGAACAAATGGGAATGGATTTGGTTCATTGGAAGCTTTTGTGACAGGATTCACAGGATCATAGCGGAGAGGATTACAGGGGCTATTTATAATTTTGTACAGTTTGTCAGCGTAGTCGTTCAGGTTTAGCCGTAATAACCGCATAAGCTGTCTCTTTGCCACTTTTAATTCAAGAGATCAGAAACTGAACCTTACATTTATAACCTTATTATATAGTTTGGGACATGGAATGTGTATGTGATTGCCAGGGTGGTGGAAGGTGAACTGGATGAACCTTGATCTTCTTTTGTCTAGCAATCCATCCATTGGAAAGCAAAGGGTTCCAAGAAACTCCACTGGAAGATTGCATAATTGGAAGGAACAGAAAAGAATTCAGTCCATTGAAATGTGTTGAATTTTGTTTAATGGGAAGGGGGTTAAAGTTTTAGAACTGTGCTGGCAGTGAGTGGGAAGTGGTTTGATTCAATAGTAACAATAATCATTATATTTGATATAACACCTTTCAATTTGGGAGGAAGACTCATATTGAAAGGACAAATTATACAGTCAATATATTTTATACAGTCCAATTCACTTTACAATATATTCTGTGAAGCACTTTGAGATGCCTCAACAACGTGATAAGGTCTATATCACATTTGAGCATTATTATTGTTATTATTCCACCTCAGGTGCCTTTGCTGGTACCTCTCTCCAATGAACAAGGAAAAGGTTAAAGCAAAAACCAATGCATGTTATAGATGGTATTTCAAGCCTAATAACCTTGGCTCATTCAAAATCTGTCCATACAAATCCCATTAGTTGGGTTTTTTTAACCAGGATTTCTAAACTGTCAATTTTAATCTCTAAAATCATGTTGCCTGTGAGAAATCCAAGGCAAAGATAATAAAACAATGTGGTCCCTTCAAGACCAGCATTTGTGGCGAGATCTAATTTCTCCATTGATCTTATCAATGTGTTTCCTTCCAATCTTCTGAACAAAGCATCTTCTGACCAAAAGAAGAAGAAAAAGAAGAAAGTGGCATATAAAAATAAAATCAATTCGGCAGATTCCACAGATATGTTCTCCAGAAACGTGGATTTAACTGCCCCTCTGGGTAAGCACATGACTATTAGTCCATATAGCGCATCGCTTTCCAGGGGTAATAACCCCTCAAAAAATATATAATAATGATAATAATTTGGTCACTCAATCCATGCATGACTGTTTGTGGGACGCTGCCGTGCGCAATTGGTTGCTGTGTTTCACCCACAAAATATACAGTCAATTCACTTTACAGTATATTCTGTGAAGCGCTTTTAGACGTCTCTATGACGTGATAAGGCACTATATCAAATGCAACGTTGATTATCAAACCCAAGAGATCAAAAGCTGATCCTTATATGTATAATCTTATTGTATAATTTGGGACATGACAGATGCATGTGATTGCCAGGATGGTGGAAGGTGAACTGGATGGACCTTATTCTTCTTTTGTCTAGCAATTCTTATGTTCTTATATACCCAGTGTCCTCGACTTCGTCCCAGGGTGTTCAGTGCACATTCTGCTGAAATGTTGATGTATTATGCAGTGCTGTCTTTGTGGCTATTTTAGTTAGCATGAATGAAGTGAATGAATTAGTTCAGCCTCATAAACAGGAACTGTGCTAGGATTGTGGTAGGCACTTTATCTAATCTGTTTCCTCCTGTGTTCTGTAGATCTCTATAGGAAAGCACTCCTTGCACTGAAGACCAGACCACGAGCAAACGTCTAGATGTCTTGTGTCAAACGTTCACCAACACACCAAGTCGCTTCAAATCAGGCCCTGTTTACACTGGCAGGTTGTTGAGGACCATACCTAGTGATTGGTGGGCTCTGGTATGAGGCCTGTTTTCCAGAACTGCAACATGTCTGTATTTGAGGGAGACTGAGTTGGATTGCAAGCTATTCAGGCAATGCCCTGAGCTATCCTTTTAGCATGGTATCCCAAGGAAATATTCGTAAATTATGTAGAGTGGTGGCCAGGAACTGTGAGGAACCTGTCCTCTGATTCTACAGGAGTCTGGAACCCTGGACACCACTTCACTGACCACACCTGAATTCTCCACCAATTTGTGTAGAAATTGCTTGATTCGCTGTTCAATATACATCCCATTTACAATGTCACCGCAGAGGAATACTACTATATTATACTACACCAATAATAGTTTCTGATGCTGGCAATATTTAAGAGCCTCACAAACCGAGTTACTTTGTTGTGTAGTGACTGTTCAGGTTCTGAGCTGCTTGTTTACAGCATTTATAACCACCCAGCAGTTCAGTGGCACACTCTTCCACTTTGATCCTTATGCTGTTCCATTGCCCTTCCCGATTTGTTTCCTTGGCTTTCTTCCTCTTTTCCCTCTTTCTATTTCTCTTATGTTTCACCCACAATACACGAGCAATTCACTTGTAACTGACCTGATCATCGCCTGTAACTGAACTGAGATTGAATGATGCAAAGACCGGATAC